TTTTTGCTGGTTACTTGCAGTAGATTCTGAAATCATATATATATTATATATATATATATATATTACTGATAATCGATTTTTGTTCTTTAAAATTTATAACTTCATTTCTCGTAAAATGTAAAAGTTTGTTATTCATAAAATCATGTCCCTTCCTGCTTAGAAACAAATAATTGATAATGTAGTCAAATAACCATTTTTTTGCTGGTTACTTGCAGTAGATTCTGAAATCCAAAAATGGTGACTAAGAATTGAAGAGAGAAAACTAATGTGGTGTTTGTTTTTACTGTGCAAGCTCTTCAAACCACTTATGTCTGCGTCGCGCAGACCACGTGCAGACATTAGGCTTCGTAGACTGTTTGTATTTTAGAAGACAGAAGCTCTTCAAACGTCTGCGCTAGCTCTTCTTGGTGCAGACTTGGTTTTATGTCTTCAAAGGTCTTTAAACCTCTTCAAGAACAATTATAAAATATATTTATTTATTAAATAATTTTAAATAATTTAATAAGGTTATTATTTAAAATAATTTATTTAAAATAATTATTATAAAATAATTTATTATAAATAATTTACTTTAAAATAAATTTATAAAATATGGATTGATTTATTTTAAAATAATTTATTTGAATAATTATTAGTATGAATTGATTTATTTTAAATATGATTGATTTATTTTAAATAATTTATTAGTATGGATTGATTTATTTTAAAATAGGATTGATTTGATTATTGTAGTTGTATGAATTGATTATTTTAAATAATTTATTAGTATGGATTGATTATTTAAAATATGGATTGATTTATTTTAAATAATTTATTAGTATGTATTGATTATTTTAAATATGGATTGATTTTTTAAAATATGGATTGATATTTTAAATAATTATTAGTAGGGATGATTATTTAAAATATGGATTGAATTATTTTAATAATTATTAGTATGGATGATTTATTTTAAAATATGAATTGATTTATTTTAAAATATGGATTGATTTATTTAAATAATTTATAGTATAGATTGATTTATTTTAAATAATTTATTTGTATAGATTGATTTATTTTAAATATGATGATTTTATTATTGTAGTTGTATGGATGATTTATTTTAAATATTTATTAGTATGGATTGATTTATTTTAAAATATGGATTGATTTATTATTGTAGTTGTATGGATTGATTTATTTTAAAATAATTAATTAGTATGGATTGATTTATTTAAAATATGGATTGATTTATTTTAAATAATTTATTTTAAATAATTTATAGTATGAATTTATTTTAAAATATGGATGATTTATTTTAAATAATTATTAGTATGGATTGATTTATTTTAAAATATAGATTGATTTATTATTGTAGTTGTATGAATTGATTTATTTTAAATAATTATTAGTATGGATGATTTATTTTAAAATATGGATTGATTTATTTTAAATAAATTAGTATGTTGATTTATTTTAAAATATGGATTGATTATTTAAAATATGGATTGAGTTTAAATAATTTATTAGTATAGATGATTTATTTTAAAATATGAATTGATTTTTTAAATAATTTATAGTATGGATTGATTTATTTTAAAATATGAATTGATTATTTAAAATATGGATTGATTTATTTTAAATAATTTATTAGTATAGATTGATTTATTTAAAATATGGATTGATTATTATTGTAGTTGTATGGATTATTTTAAATAATTTATTAGTATGATTGATTTATTTAAATATGGATGATTTATTATTGTAGTTGTATGGATTGATTTATTTTAAATATTAATTAGTATGGATTGATTTATTTTAAAATATGGATTGATTTATTTTAAATTAATTTATTGTAGTTGTATGGATTATTTAAATTTCAATATTGTAAAACTAAAATTATTTAAATCTCAGTATTGCAAAACTCTTTTAAGTTTAAAAAGTCAGTTTATTTATATTTCAGTTCATTTTAGCAGTCTGCAGACGTTAAAAAACAAACAATATTCTTCTTGCAGATTGCAGACTTTTGGTCAACCTCTTCTGCTGCAGATGTCTGCAGATGTGATCCGCAGACTGCAGACATTTTACCTCTGTAAAAACAAACACCACCTAAAAGAGTTTGGGTAAACGAAGAACGGATAATAATAATTTGGGTAAACTACATCTTTAATACCTAAAGTATCACTTTTATATCATTTTAGTATCTAAACTTTTATTTTTCAATATCATATCTAATGTAAGTGACACTTAACGGAACTATTGCAAGTGACACTTTTTTATGCGTAAATTACATCATTCATTACTCAACTATCTTCTCACTCTTATTTTGGTCACTTAAGTTTAAATTCTTTTGATTTAATTACTTAACTTTCAAATTACTCCTAATTTCATTACTTTAACTTTCAAATTGATTTTTTATTTTAATTATATATTAATAAATAATATAATAATAAAAATTCAGTGTCATAGAAATTATTAATAAGATAAATTAGAGTAATTAAAACATGAGAATTTGAGAGTTGAATAATTAAGTTGAAATTTTTTAAACTTTAGTGATCAAAATAGGAGTGAAAAAATAATTGAGTGAGGAATTATGTAATTAACCCATAAAAAAGTGCCACGTTAAGTAGTTTCATCAAGTTTTAACGAAGATGTACCAAAACGAAACAATCTGTATATGTTAGGTATGGTTTTGAAATAAATAAAAGTTTAGGTACCAAAACAAGAATAAAGTTATAGTTTAGATACTAAACGTGTAGTTTATCTTAATAATTTTTATTATTTTAAAATAAAGATATTTTTATATTATAAAAAATAAGAATTAAATTAGTATTTTGTTTCAATTTTATTCGTTGAATAAAAATTAACATTTTACCTAATGTGCCACGTCATAAAGTAATTAGGGATGAATAAAACTAGACTCGAAAAATCGATATTTCCGATTCGACTAGACTTGAAAAAATTATAATCGAGTTAACTTTCAGTTGTAATTTCATAAACTCAACTCGACTTGAAAAATTTCAAATACAAGTCGAATTATAAAATAGAACTTGAGTAACTCAATTTTTTTAGTAATTAGCGGATTGTTTTCAAGTTTGAGTCGAGTTCTTTGATTTTGTATGCTATATTTACATCACATATGAAAAATATATATGTATTGTATATGATTATAAAAAATGTTTAAATTGAAACTAAATAGTACCATAGTATTATAAATATGTACAATTAAATTTAAATAAAAGCTCACAACTCAACTCGATTAGACTCAAATTGAATTTTATGAACTCAACTTGACTCAAAAAGATTTCAAATAAAGTTTTCAGTTATTAAATATAATTCATCAACTCGAATAACTCAAAACTTTTCAATTTGACAAAATTGAACACTCAACCTTATGAGTAATAGAGATTAATAAAGTTATTCATGGTCAGTTAATCGTACAATTTAACCCAAATGGTTGATTAATAATTATAATGATCATTAAAATTCATTAATCGCAATTTAATCATTAACGATTAACTGCTATTAATGGTTCGATTACATCTCAATTAAATGTTAACCTGCAAAGCATAACAAATTTCTTTTTCAAAGGCGACGCAACATGAAATTTTCAACGTTTCATAATTTATACTACACAATATTTCAATAAATATATTTTAATAAACATATTCTTTGATTTTAAAATTATTTTATTAATATTAAGTTTACACAACAGGAAAGTTTCATAAAAGTAATTATAAATAAAAATATTTTAATAAATATATTGAGATAAGTCGAGTTTTACTTAAATTAGACAGACCTCAATCCAATGTCAAAAAATTTAATAAAAACAATCTTAAAAAGAAAAAGAAAAAAAAAAACCTTAGCCAATTCAGATTGAGACTCATTAGAATTAAGAAAATGACCATTCTTGACCATTGATTTAGTAAAATTACTATTTTTATATGCTCGAAATTATAAAATTTCAGTATGTAAAATGATAGAATTATTCTTTGGCTCCGTTGCTTTAAAAAATACATTCAATTCAAAATATTATAAATATTTTTAGTTAATAAAATGATTTAGGGCTGAAAAATAGTTGAAATATTTTAATTTTAATTTTTCTAAATTAATTGTCAAAATTTATAACCGTAACGGTTAACCTTTATTTTAACAGTTTAGTTAATTGAAATCATTTAATCTTAATGATTCGATTAATTAACATGTAAAATATAATGATTACGGTTACACCTATTGACTTACGGTTAACGATCACTTGTTAGTTTGAACAGCCTAGAAGATTAGCGACTTGACGACCAAAATATAATGAATTGATAATTGTTATATTTTGACCCAAATTATAATTGATAATTAAATTAGATTTTATTGTAATTCTACTGATTAAAGATTACTTGATAATTAGGTTTATTTAATAAAGTAAATATTTATTTTATACAAGAATTCTTATGGAATAAAAATACTTATTAAGTATTTGACTTTATAAATAGGTAAGAGTGTTTTGGTATATATCCGGTTTTGATATCTATAGCGAGTTTTGGGAAAACATGTGATATCATGTATTTGTACTCTTCACGTTTTCTACGTTTATAGTGTATTATTGTTCTTTTCTTCCGTGAAGGTAAGCAATGTCGAACCACATTAAATCTTATGTTTTGTGCATATCTTATTTTACGTTGATATCGCTTTTATTATTTTTTCGCTCTCAGGTTACTAACAATAAGGTGATTGAAACGTAACTTTTCAAAAATTGGTAAACTGAAAACAAAAGGGATTACTAGTGTAGTTTATCATTAATAATTTGGGTTGAAATCAATAGAAATGTTCGACAAAATTGGCCCAATATCACGATTTTTCAGATAAAAAAACCCAACTCAGAAGCGTGTTCCACAAGCCTCTCCCTTAAATTCACGATTCTATAATCCATCGTTTCGTTTCCCCTTCTTATCTAACACCGCAGCATTCGCCATGAAACCACCTCATCTTCTCTTTCCCGTTTTCAAATCATACGTTCTCCCGCTTCATATTTAGGGTTTCATTTCGATCCCCGCATCCCTCTTTTTCTCTAGTATTATCATCCTCGTTTCTTTCTTTATAGTTATGCCGTCGAAGAGATGGGATTCAAGGCACCCATATCCAGGTTCGCATCACCGGGACCGTTCGTCCGGTTCAAAACGGAAGGAACCGGAGAAACAACTAAAGTACCAGAAGAGTAACCAGGCAGATAATGACAGTGAGCTCTGCTTCAAAAAACTTTCAGAGTTCAACGAATCGTTGCGCCGCAAACAACTGTTAACATCCACCAAGTTCCAATGGAACCATCTTTTATCCGAAAATCTCGAGAAAGAACCGGCGGCGTGTAGTAAGCCCGAACCAACCATGTCGAATGATAGAAAGGTGTCGCCTTCTTCGATGAGTCGATTGGGGATTGATTTAACGGAAGAAAAGCAGTTCTTTTTTTCAAGATCACCACATACGAAGGAAGAGAGTTTGTGTTTCGGCGATTTTCGATACCCAGATGTGGGTGAAACAGATGGCTTTGGTGGGTTTGGAGAAATATTTGATTCTGATTCTTCACCCGTTATATATGAGAAGGCCATGAAACGGATGAGGAGAACTCAGGAAGTTATTGAATCATCTTATAGGAAGGTGGAAAGTGAAATAACGAGAGCCAGTGCTATTGATTCTATTGTAGATAAATTCGATGGCTCAGGGGAAATGAGTGAGCAAAAGAGGGAAATTTTGCATGGGGGAAGGCGTCTTCATGAAGAAGATTGTAGCCGTCGTGTTTTAACTCAACCTTATGGTGATTTTAGTGGAGAGCAAGTTCCTTTTCATGGTGAAAAACATGAGTTATCAGAAGGTCATGGTCATGCTTTAAATGAAACGCCTTCACATGATGAAACACAGCAAATGCAAGAAGGTTTCAGCCTTTCCGTACCTCGTCTTCATTTTGGTTTAAATGGAGAATCACAGGTGATGGAACAAGAAACGGAAATTCGGGGTTCAAGAATGTGTTATCCTAAGGATCAAAATGAAGCTTATTTTCATTGTAAAATCCTTAAGTTGCAACAAGAAGGTAGCACTCAGCATATTTCATTAACAGAGGAGGTAGGCATCAATGGCCAGTCTCCAATGCAACATCCTAAGAAACGTATTATCGATCTGAGAGAGATTAGAGAGACTCGGATTAGTACATTAACCCAAACTTCAGATGTCTTAGATGATGAGATTCTTGATATTGAACGGAGTGATGAAGATTCCGGTCTTCAATGGAACATAACTGACTCTGACTATCCATTCTGCTCTTCTCGTATGCAAGAAGTTCCACAATCTACTAATAGGAAAAGTATAAAGCAACGACTCGGTCGATCTTGTCGAGTTAATTATCTCGATCATCAACATAGGAAAAACAGAAAGCAACGATTGAGCCCCCCTTATCAAGCTCATCGTAGCAGGAGAAGTATAAAGCAGCGCTTAGGTCCACCTTGTCAAAATCATAATCCAATTGGAAGGCATAAAACGAGGAAACCAATGAAAGAAAATGAGAATAAAGTTCATATTCCAACTGCTATGCCTAGGATTGAAAAGCATAAAGTGAGAAAACATGTGAAGGGAAACGTTAGTGAGTCTCACAAAGGGGTTCATGCTCGAGACGATGTTTTGCATTCTACGAAACGTGGAAGGACTGAGCCACCCGAGGACTCTGATGAGTTCAAGCAATTAGTACATGGCGCTTATGTTAAATTTATCAAAGCTTTGAATGAGAATCCAGCTCAAAGAAGGAAATACACCGATAAAGGAGAAACCAAGAACTTAAAATGCTGTGTATGTGGCAGGTCTATCATCTACACCTTCTCGATTTACCTTTTATTCCATTACCGGTTAACTATATAAGCCAAGTGGGAATGTTGCAGTATATGCAAGATGTCCCTCATTGATTACTTTTAGAAACAAGTTTGTCATTGACTAATACATTTCCCATTGGAGCTCTCTTGAGCAAATTTTGTGGTAGAATACATTTATGTTGAGCTATGCTGATGAGTATGTGTAGTTTTCCACAATTTGCTCTTTTGTCATATGATTTAGGTTTAAACATACCCCTTTAATGACTCCTTGCTTGTCTTGATCTATCAGCAAATCTGAAGATTTCGTTGATAATGTAAGCTTAGTAATGCATGCCTTTACATCTCGGCGGAATAGAGTAGAGCACTTGGGTTTGCACAAAGCGCTTTGTCTTTTGATGGGATGGGGACTCGATGGCTGTTTCTAATTGTTTATGGACCCCGAAGGCGTTGGCCTGCGCTGAAGCCTTGGCTATGAAAGAGGATCTTGTTGTTTGGCCTCCGGTTGTCATCTTGCATAACAGTTCTATTGGTACAACTATTTCTGATGACCGAATTATAGTAAGTATCGAGGAGATTGAGGCATTTCTCAGAGGTAAGTTATAAGCTTTACAATGATAGTAGCTGTTGGTATTGCTATTTGATTCAAGAGGTCAACTAAGACTTGATAACAATGCAAGTCTTTGCCACTATACCAGTGGCTTAAATTGATTCCGGGATCACTTTGTTTTAGTGATATTTAAAATAGTCATTTTGACAATGAAGTTCATGTGGTTTCCACTCGGTCCTCATTGACAAAATGGCATCTTTACATCGCATCTCTTATTAACTATTGTCTTTTCAAATATTTCTTAAAATTTTTGTTTGGACTTTGTTCCAGCTTTATTCTTGCAACATATGCATCATTTCCCTTGTTTTGAATCATGGTAGAAACATATATTCAGATTTTTAACTTTTCCACTATGATTTTATGTTGGGATGATCGAGTCTTTTGCACCAAGCTGTGTGCTTGTCATTTGGCTGGTCATGGATGTCTCTCCTTCAAAACACACTTGAACTGGTCCTTCCCTTCACAATGTACTGGTTTTCTTTCCCCCCTGTTTCTTGCCTTTGTTCAATTGCAGGTATGGGGTTTGGCCGGGGGATATCGAAGGTCTGTCGTGGGAAACCTGCGAATTGGAGTATTATGGTAGTGATCTTCCATGGAACCATTTCAGGGCTACAAGATGCAGAGAGACTCCATAATATGTATGCCGAGAACAAGCATGGGAGGGCTGAGTTCATGCGAGTCGATTGCCACAGCGGAGAAACGAAGAAAACGCCACTAAACAAGGTTGAAGACGTGCTATACGGCTATCTGGGAGTCGCAGGTGACATGGATAAACTCGATTTCGAGACAAAAAGTCATTCGGTAGTCAAAAGCAAGAAGGAAATCTATAGCATTGCTGATCAATGGGAATAACAATAGTTCCAGGCCTACTAACTCATGTTTTGTTAATGGAAACTATATAACTTCATCGTCTTTTCTTCACCACTGAAGAGGTTGTGGTTTTCTCTTTGGAAAATGGAATATGTTTGTTTTTGCTTCCACTTTTTGTTGAGAAAATGACAGATTCAGCAATATGATGTAGGGTTTCAAATTCCAGTTGCGGTAGATAATTCTCTTTTGTTTTTGCTTTCATTTTACCGTGATTGCGGCCATAGCGAGCGCTATTGCGACCGTAGCAGGCGCTATTACGGGTTTAGCGGAAGACAGCGCTACCACGAAATCCCAGGCACTATCGCGGTAGCGGGACGTTATTTAAAACCCTGATATGTAGAGAAAAACTTGGATTTATAAACATTTTAGTGTCATTTTTCCTTTCAATCTTGTTCAGATTGCTTACATACTTGTTATATAGCGGTTTGATTCGAGGAAAATGACATTATTAAGGGGAAGAATTTTTTTTGGAGTTGTATTTTTATGTTTATGGTTTACGAAAAAGATTATGACCAAGTAATATTTTTTTTTTCAATAGTAATATTTATTTTTGGTTAAAATGGTGAGAATGTTTTTTGTCAAAAATTTTAAATATTAGACAATTTTCTTTGGACAAAAATACCTTTTAATTAATGAATTCCTTTTATAATTTTTTTTTTCAAATCTTATTTTTTTTGTACTTTACTCAAAATTATAAATATAATAATAATATACAAAGAGTTTAATTTAGTAAAATTATTAATAAATTTGAGTATTTAAATATTTTTTTATTTTTAATATTAAATACATTAATTATTTATAAGTTTTTAGGTAAAAATAATATTATTGTAAAAAATGTAATTATTCAAAATAATCTCTAACTTTAAGTTATTAAATAATAGATCTTATGTATTAAAAATAATATCTTTATCTACTTGAGATCATATATTGTTTTTTCATATTATATTATATTTTATATAAATAAATATGGTGCTTACAAAATTATTTAAAAATATAAGTTTAATATACTAATTATATATTAAATATTTTCTTTCAAAAGTTAGATAGTATAACAATTAAAATATTTCTATAAATTTTCATTCAAATATTTATAATTCATTATTAATGTTTAACTTTATATATATATATATATATATATATATATATATATAATGGTAATTTTGTTAAATATACATCCAAATAATCTTATATTCCTCTAACTAAATACTATAACTTTATATTCATGTTAAACAAATTAAACAAGGTAATATAAACATTCTCATAGTAATGTTATATTCCAGTGATATTATTCTCAAACGTAACCTTATATTCCGTGAATCAAATGCTTTCTAAGTGTGATATCTATTGATCGATACAATATATATATATATATATATATATATATAATAATTAAAAATTGTCCCCTAAATTAATAACAGAGCTTCTCAATTTTGGCCTTTTGGGACACATTGATTAAATTTGTCAGGAGGGATAATTATGGTAATGATTAAATTAAATTTCTTTTTTATTGGTTTAACTGTCTCATTGTCTCCGAAAGTATATTATTTGTACATAATTATTTTTTAAAGTATTTTTTAAAATATATTTTTTATCTTAAGTTTAAATTGTTATATTGTTTGTTCTAAATCATTAACCTAGTAAAAAACACAAAGGTAAATTACATATTTAGTCACTATACTATTCTTGTCCTTCTATTTTGGTCACCTAACTATTTCGTTTTCAAAATCATCTATAAGCTTAAGTTTTTATTCCATTTTACTCACCTGATTCAATCTGATTTATTTTTAAAATTTATAATATATAAGTGTTCATTTATATCTCATTTTTTACTCGATACATAAATTTAATTTATAATAATAAATAATATTATATTATAAATAATAAACAATATATTAAGTTGTTTGTAATTGAAATTTTAATAGAACTATTAAATGTTAAATTAAAATATTATAAAAAAATTTAAAAAATAAAAATATGAAGGTGTTTGGTAAAATTTAAATATTGTAATTTGAATTGAATTTAAGAAACAAATCTTTGGATCTACTTGCAACTAAAGGAGCTTCCATCCAAACACCCTTTTTAATTCCTCATCACGATTTCTCTTTTGATTTGCATACCTTCCCTCTCTTTTTTCTAGTACAGGAGCTTCCATCCAAATCTTTCAGTCATAACGTATGTGTGCGTATCGTTTAGCCTAAATGATTGATTAATCGTTATAAAATGGTTTTGAATTTTTTTTAATTGTAATCTAACTATTAAAGAACGATTAATTATTAATGGTTAATTGTTATTTATAGTCTGATTACATATTATCAGTAGGTTAACCTATTATAATTATATTTCAAAAATAACACAACATGAATATTTTAAAATTTCATAACTCGTACTACAAAAAAAGTACAACACTTTACACATATTAACACCGATGTAATTGAATAAAATAAAAAAAGTGTAACATTTAACACATACTTACGACGGTGTAAGTATGTACATATCTCAAAAAGTGTTACACTTAACATGTACTTATACTGATGTAAGTATATACATCTCTAAAAAAGAATAGCACTTAACAAATACTAAACCAGTCTAAGTATGTATATCTCCAAATATAATTATAAATTTAATTTATTAACGGTTAACCGTTTATCAAAATCTGTAATCGTAACTTTAATTGTCAATCATTATTTTTAATTGTTCAGTTCATCGAAACCGTTTAATATTATTAACAGTTCAAAAATTATTAAATACAACGGTTATTCTGATTAACGGTTAAGGGTTTTTTTTGAAAACCCCTAACACGTATACCAGCACTCATCAAAACACAATGACTTCTTAAAATAGAAATACTAAGCATGATCAGCAAATGACATTACTTGAAGATATAAAGAAGTGGTTGCAGAAAATACAATAGCATAAGAAGGTACAAGAAGCAAATGGCATTGAAAAGAACATCCAACAGATGCAATAGAGCTGAAAGTTGGCGTGGTACTAGAAAAAAAATGAAGGGAATGGATGCATATCCAAAGAGAGACCATGATGAGGAATTGAAAAGGGATGTTTGGATGGAAGCTTCTGTGATTGGCGTTGCAAGCAGATCCAAAGATTTATTTTTTAAATTTGATTCAAAATACTATTACTATATTTAAAATTTATCAAACACATATTTATAAATGAATAATCGGTCAAGAGGAAGAAACTTATAATATCGTAGCTGCTCATGGTTATTTTGCCCGATTGATCTTTCGGTATGCTAGTTTCAACAATTCTCGTTCTTTACATTTCTTCTTAGCTGCTTAGCCCGTAGTAGGTATCTGGTTCACTGCTTTAGGTATTAGCACCATGACTTTCAACCTAAATGGTTTCAATTTTAACCAATTTGTAGTTGATAGTCAAGGTCGTGTAATTAATACCGGGCTGATATTATTAACCATGCTAACTTTGGTATGGAAGTTATGCATGAACTTAAGGCTCATAACTTCCCTCTAGACCTAGCTGCTATTGAAGCTCAATCTATAAATGGACAAGACTTTGGTTTTAGTACGAGTTTTTGAAAATAAAGGAGCAATAATCAATTTCTTGTTCTATCAAGAGTTTTGGTGTTGCTCCTTTATTTAGTATCTAGATTTAGTAGTCTTTCTTTTCTTTACATAAGTTTGTTTTTTCTTTACTTTCACGTTAAGTTTATCTTTTTTTTTTATTTTTTTTATTTTACCCTATTTTTTCTTATTGCCAAAAGCGATTTCTTATTATCATAAGAAATACAAACTATCAACCTTTTGTAAAAATTTTATTTTAGAGTAAAAATAAAAGATAGAGATTGGAATTTTTTATATATTGTATCTCAGAAAAATGATAAAATCCCTAAAATGTGATAAAAAAATGATGAATGATAGAAATTTACATATTTCTATATAGCTAAGTTAAAAGATAATTGAGCATGCCATGATGTTGTTAGGATTTCATGTAGTTCTTTATGCCCTTGGCCTGTAAATGGACCTTTATGAGCCTCTAAAATATTTTTAGGCCATGCCCAATGCCCCAATTGGTCCTATACATATGACCCGCTATTAGGAAAAGAATTGCAATAGTTAAATGATAGTGTGCAATATCAGTCAACCATAGACCCCCAGTCACTGGATCTAATCCTCCACGAAAAGTAAGAAATTCTAATCAACCCTTCGTATTTTTATTTCTTAAATTATTTATGATATTTAATCTAACATTCAAATATTTATTTTATTAAAATTTCAAGTAAAAACGACTTAATATGTTGTTTATTATTTATTTTATAATATTATTTATTATCATAAATTAAATTTATGTATCGAGTAAAACATATGTGATATAAATGGATTCTTATATATTAAATTTTTTAAAAATAAGCACGAATCAAAGTAGTCTCCGTGGTAAGCACGAGCACCATAGATGCTAGAGGTGTGAGAGATCAATGTCGAAAGGTTGAGAGTTATCTTTGAACAGATACTGCAATGTACTTACCTTAGATTATTCAAAAAAATAAATAAATAGATCAATCAAATTGATTCAGGTGACCAAAATGAAATAAAAACTTAAGTTTAGTGATGATTTTGAAAAAAAATAACTAGGAAACCAAAATAGAACCGCAAGAATAGTATAATGACTAAATATGTAATCTACTCTTGATTTTTCAACCGAGCCAATGATTTGAGGCAAATGAAGTAACTATTTAAACTTAAGGGGGTAAAATGTCTTGAAAAATACTGAGGGGAACTCGGTGCAAATGGTATACTTGAGGGGGCAAGTGTGCATTTAAGCCTTTTTAATTTTATTCTGTTTGAAAAAATTAAAATATTTAATGTGTTTTGCATTTTTATGTTCAGAATATTATAATTTGTATCATTTAGAAGTTAATCGCATCACATGTCCTCAAACCATTACTCTCATTTTAAATCGATCCTTAAACTTTTAAATATTTCGATTTCATCCCTAACTATGACTATCATTCTAAATTAATTCTTAAACTTCTAAACATTCAAATTTCATCCCCAAACTATGACCTTCATTCTAAATTGATCCCTAAACTTTTTTGAACATTCTAATTTCATCTCAAACTATACGTATATACTAATCACATCCACTGTTAATAATATGGTTAGAGAAAGTTATATTATTATATGTTTCAAGAAAACAAAATTTAGGTTAAACTATAGTTGGAACTAATTACATATTTGGATGAATTTAGGGATGAAATTGGAGTATTTAGAAGATAGAGGACCAATTTAGAAAGTCATAGTTTAGGGATGGAATTAAAATGTTCAAAAGTTTAGGGTTTAATTTAGAATGAGATTCATAGTTTGGTGATGAGATTGAAATATTCAAAAGTTTAAGGACTAATTTAAAATAAGAGTTATAGTTTGGGTACATATGATGTAATTAAAACTTTTTATTAATATATGTTAATAATCACTATGTGAATTGTGTCAATTTGTATGTCCAAAAGTCCTCGAAAAATAATTTTCCCCTTTCACCATAATTGAACGTTCAGCTCCAACATTTCCAGGCACCCGAAATGTCATGGAGTGAAGGCCCGTGGAAAGTCGAGTGAAAAGCAAGGTTTCCATTCTGCACTGCACACCTATAGATTCTTTGGACCTTCATCTTACACCAAAATGTTGGATGGTGGACTCAAAACAGTAGCAAAGCTGTCTTATTAGTGTTTATGGTTGACTGAACATTGGATTGGACAACATATATATTAATTGTAAGCCATCAGCCAAACTTGATCCGACTCATTTATGAACAGCCCATGACTAAAAAGGACCCACAAGATCCAGAAAATTTGATCCAACTCACAGCACCCTGAGGACTTTTATTGATCATGTACTGAGATTATTCAAGTTTAACAGGGAATAAACACAAAAACTCATGATGCAGTATTCAAAAGAATCAAACCAAACCGAAAATAACTCGTCAAGGGTAGCTTCAATATTTCCATTGGTAGCAATGAAATGTGCGAACCAAGCCATTATTAGAGCAATTAAACAAGCAATTTCATGCTATAAAGACCATACAAAGTCCAGGAAGCCTCACTCTTTCTTTCCAATACCATGAGACATGTGATAGACCCCTTGTCCCTGAAATAGAACAAGCACAACATGAGCAAATGGGCCCTCCATTGAAGGGCATGCGTACAAGTAGAAACAAAAACTCACAATGAAGAACAAAGAAGTTGCGGCCAAAGCAGCAGGAATGGCAACAGATGTGATTTTGTCGTGAGGTCCTTTCAGGTAAGTGTGCTTGTATATGCTTTGAAAATATTTCTGCTTCTCGAGAAGAACTTCCCTAGGTCTGAATGGCACCTCCGACATCCTGCGTTGTAAGTTCAAATTCCAGTCATAGATAATCAAAGCAATTAAGCTTTTCAAAGCTTCCCAAAACATCCCAATCTCACTTCTCTCTTCCAAAAATGACATTTCATGGGCTTCCACTTCAAGGTTCCATCATGTCTCAATATTGATTTGATTTTTTCTTTGAATAACCATACTATTTTATTAATTAACAAAGCATACCATCATTCAAAACATCCTCATTAATATCGTACAAAAAGTGTAAATAAAAAACACTAGGAACATCACTACATAATCCCAAATGGGCAAGTTCATATGCTACTATACTGCTTGTAAAATTAACAAAATTAAAGGAAATGTGCTGGAAACATTGCCTGAGTTGCTATATTGTCTCTCCATATTGAGTTTTGAAGTAGACAAACAGAGATCTTTCCCTTATTCTGTCTTGTGTGAACTACTGTCAGTCCCAAGAGTGATTCTTAGCAATGCCAATCTAAATGATAGAAAGGTTTCCTGATTCTACATAATCAGTGGGTCAATACTTTGTTTTCTTTGTAATCTGTTTTCGGACGATTCTGTAAGTGAAATGAGGTTCACATACCAATGGCTGGCTAGTGCTCCCCTTTTCCATAAACACCCCCAACCCCAACAGCTCACCAACCCTTAAAAGAATAAGTTGGATTTAGTCCTAGATCTTGGGTACAACTATGAAACAATTTTTACGAGCTAAAACATTCAGTTAAAGCTTAGTACCGGTACTCTCAAGGTCCAGGGTTTGAGTCCCGACCATAACATTCTCCCTCCCCAATTGTAAGCTTGTAACTGTACCCAAAAAAAATAATTCAAATTTTATTCTCAAGAGAAGCCCAAAGGCCTACTATTCTCCCTCGCCTGCTCATCAGTTGCACTTGCACTAACAGGATAGGATTGCAAAACTACTTGGCAGTACCACTTATATAAAAGTTACATTAATAGCCAGCTGGTCTAACAGAAATCAGAAAGGAGCCATGCCGTAGTAGCGATTTTCAGAAGTTAAGTTGAAATTTTGCTTGGGAGAAGCCTCAATAAGCATGTTTTACAGCACACAAACCTGAATTCTAACTTAAAAAGCCCATATTAAAGGCCTCCTCATTGGAAATCTTTTGCGTACGAAAAACAATTACTCGTAATCTTAATTTTCATTTCATCTAGAGAAGATGGAATTTTACACATCTTCCGCTATAACTTAGTTAGATGGTTGCAATTACACATAATCTCAAACGAATGCAAACTTAAGAGTTAAATTACATTATCCAGCAGTAGATTGATTCCTTCGACCAAAACGAATATCTAGTACAAGAGATCTAGTACATCAATTCAAACTAGCTACATAAATCGCTTAAATGTTTTTAGCGGAATTTCAAGCAACGTATATAAAATGGAAACCAAAAACTAATTTTCAAATTCAGAATCGATAGAGAAGATCGAAAGATAGAGAACCTGATCTTTTTGTTCCTCCTCCTTAGATGCGAAAACCCTACAAATATAAAACGATTCTGAACCTTTATCGATTGAATATGTCCTGAAAATTGCCCTTATATCATTTGGGGGATAACGAAAATAGGAAAATTATACCCAAAATACCAAAACAATGGGTAAACTTAAGTGTTGGTCATCCAACTATCATAAACTTTTATTTTCATCATCCAAATTCAAAACTTGTAAAATCACCCAAGAGAAATACGCAGGTGTTTTTGGCCCATTACGGCACCCGAAATAATTATTTGGCCCAATAGGACACCTCAAGAATTATTTTGAGATCTACGACATTTTTTACAGTGCAAGGGGAACTCGTCACCTTCCGGGCCCAATATTGTAATATTTCTCGTAGAACTCGTCACCTCGAGGTGAGAGTTCCATTAAAAAATTATTATTTTTTAAGATTATTATGTGATTTTTTAGTTTTTTAAAAAATAAAATGGAACTCATCGTCTCGAGGTGGCGAGTTCCATATATATATATTGCTGAAATGAACAATAAACTACGAACATTAGAGTAATGCACACTAGGAAGAAAAAACTACAAACTTAATACATTAACATTAGGACGTAAATAGGACTAACCTTACGAACACCATAAACATTAAATAAAATCATTAACATAACATTATTTATTAAGAAGTTTTAAT